CTATAAGGTATTAGAGCATACTAAACTTTACACATTATATAGGCTACACTAACATGACGTTTTGGGGGTGGTGGTTAATGAAAGTGTTCCAAAACATGACATTAATTTCTTGATGGCCTAATAGATAAATGATTTTTGAGATGGTAAGACCATTACCACTAGCTCTATATAAGAAATGAGTTGAAAGATCCAAACCAGTTCAGTTATTATCTATATCTTATTGCAGAAATATGGACATTGCCCTTGTTTATCACATCACATGATCTTTTGTATAATTTTTACATAGAACTTAGTTTTGTTAATTTTGAGTATTTTAACCTTTAGTCAGAAACATTTAGGGTTAAAAAGTAAATCAGAAGTAGAATTAGTTTCACAGATTAATATATTGGGGATATTTTGTTTCAAATGTAAAACTTGTATAAAAATGTAGCAATTTTCAATAAAAAAAAGGAAAATATTTGCATGTTTCCCTGACAGTAAATGAAATTTGAAGCTCATTCTGTGGCAGTTGGGTAACAATGAAAAACATATATGTGATATTACTACATATATCACTGTACCCTTAGTGGTACAATGCTGGAAACTTAGAACTTTATAAACATAAAATTAAAACTGATTATTGTGATAGTTGAACATTTGGGTTAAAACTCCTAGTTCAATGTTATGACAAGGATATAGGCCAGAACAAAAAAAGGAACCTTTGTTTGTTACATTGATGAAATGTTCTGTAGTGCACATTAATCAGTATATCATATTTATAATTTTCTTTTTTTACACCTCCGTGGAAATGGTGGTTATACTCAAGATAAAGTTAAGGTCCTGAATTATGAAAATAAACTTATTTTGTTGTAACAATGTTGAAATTAGTTTGCAAAACTTGTTTTGCTTTACCAATGCTCGAATAGGTTTATAAAATTTATTTCTTAGTAAAAATGTTCACTAACATGTATGTTATGACAACAAATAACAGAATGGAAAAAGTTAATCTTAATAAACCAGAGCATGCTTTTTGATAACACATTAGTGATTGATTATTAATAATCAATGGAATTAATGTTAATAAAAATTGTGTTCTTAAAAGTCCTGTAGTGTCATTTTTATGTTTATATATTTTTTCTCACATGAAATCAATGAAAATATACAGTTTTAACATGATTTTATTTTTTCTGTAGTTATTGATTCACCCTTTATTTTGTTTTTTTGTTGATTTAGGCCATTAGTAAAATCTTGATGGTACCCTGCACAGTCCTGATTTCTGATTAAGTGAATTGCAAGCTCTCCCCAGTGTACATCATATTCATCAACTAACAAGACAAGCATCATATCTGCGAGGAAAATAGAGTATTAAACATCTTAAAGGCCGGTGAAGTCGCATATGAGAATCTGTAAATTTGACCTTATAAGATGTTTATAATTACCAATGTTGTACTTTAGCTGACAGCATGTGAGAAAGTGTGTAATTGGATACTTTATCTTTGAAAAGTAAGGCTAGATATCAATGAAGTAACAGTAAGGAAAACAAGAATTATGTATGACTTTTCTACTTTTTAAATTCGTTATGATTGCTAGTATGTTTTTTTTTAATATGAAAACTTAAAGATATATTTAGGATTAAACCTGTTACTTGTGATTTATCCCATTCAAATAACTTATATCTACTTCTACATTTGTAGATCTGAACTGAACAATATCAATGAAATATAAGGAAAGATCCTGTTATAAGCTTATGCAAAAAGTTTTGTTATGGAATATGAAAGTACTTTCTCACCAGTTGTATACACATTTAGTGAGGGCCATTTCTCAAAATTACAACTTGTAGGAAATGAAAAGTCTGAGAAATTGATACCATGTTATCGTCCAGACCATATTATGGTTAGAAATGAAGTAGCAGAACATCAGTTTTTCTGTTGCAGTAATCTTTCCAGCAGTTTGTATTCACAGTTTTGTATTTCATGCAGTAGTCTTAAGCCTGCAGGTGAAAGGAACAGAGGTGTTAGAAGCAAAAGTTCTGTTCCAACTCTGTTTTCTTACTCGTTGAATTTTATTGCAAAAAACATCTTAAATGTTGAATCTCTGATAGGATTTCCAGATCTCATTGGAGAATTTTTGTTTGAACTGACTGCTCACTTGGGAGCATTTACAGGGCCAGAAGCAGTTATAACAAAACTGATCCAGTTATTTGTTAACGCCTACAAAGAACAGGTGCTTTCATCATTGGTGGTTAAGAAAAACCTTGTTATGATTAATGAATACTGTGATCCCATTATTCAATTAACACTTTACGTAACTGATCTCGACTTAACCAGCTGCCATCTTGGAGATGATCATGATTTGATAAATCACATCAGGGAACTTAAAAGGTAACTTATCATGTATCGTTGGAATATTTTGATTTATAGGAAATATTAGAAATCATTAAAGAGGACATTTGTTGACTCGGGTACTATAATAGAATTTTTGTGAAAACTCCTTATTGAATAAGCAAGAACAATATCTT